AATTTTGCAGATCACGAGGAGGGAACCACCCCATAATGTTGATATTGCATTCTGTTTGTAGCAGAATCCTTTTTTTCCCTCTTGTTTTAAATATAAAGCTTTTAAAAGCCAAATGCTTATCATTTTACTGTTGGCAACACACTCAAAAAATAAGAGACTAGTGCTGAAGGAAAGTCTTAAAACTTTTTGTGCTTTTATATGCAGTGCCTAGAATATTCTTGTCCAGTTTCTGTGAAGTTTAAAGGAAACTCTATAAAAAGGACAGATGAACTACAAAAAGCAGATGACTGAAAAGACATGTATTACAGGAAGAACTATTTCTAAATGCTTGCCAGTGTTGTACCTTTACTGAGAGTTCTCCTGCGCTGCACAGCATGGTTACTCTGAGCACACCCACTTGAATTAGATGTGGTTACAGATAAGGCTCGCTGAAATTTGGCTTCAGGTTCTGAAATGTGGTTACTAGCTGTTTTTTCTGTCGATTCCTACAGCTCATGCTGTCAAAAACCACAGAGACAATGACAACAAAGAAATTGTAAAAGATGACAGGGAGAGTAAGAACATGTGCAGAAAGAAGTGAATGCTGGAGCCAGAAAAGTGGTGGAGTCTCTACAACCAGAACACTTACATCTGACAGCGCTGGCTTGGATAGTGACCAATATTTCTTCACATAAAGAAGAATCACACACTGACAACCATAGTGAAACAGCACTAAACACTGGTATTTCTGTCATTCACATGAAAACGAGTAAACATTTTAATGAGGTTAATCTCTCTGGTGCTTCCCTTCCTTCTGTCTCCCAACCTGCCAAAGAGCAGCCCAAATTTTTTGCAAATAGACTTATTTTAGATTGCTCAGCTGAGGCAGGTGTCCAAACTGGTAAAAAGTATCATTCTGCCTACAAAAGTGTATTCTTCTCTTGCACCACTTCTCAATATCATTTCAAAATATAACTGCTCCATAACTTGAATAGTAGGCAGATATTTCTGACTCATTTATTTTCACACCTCTTTTTTAGCACACATATTTCTCTGGAGGGACTTAAAACCAAGACCTGATCAACTAACAAAGTCTATTTTGGCTACAGCTTTAGGACAACGAAAACACCTTAAAGGAAGAATTAAATATGTTACAGGACTGTGTCTACATCTCTTCTCCTTTTTATATTTCTGTTGGAACAGGTTAATGGTATTCATTACATAATGTAGATTTGTATACAGAAACTAAATAGCATACTAGTGGGAATGAATGTAAAGTATAACTCCAGAATACATTTTTTTTGGTCCATTATGATAATTTATTATAAACAATCCTTTATAGTAATAACATTTTCAGACACTGAACTGACTGACTGGCATGAAAGTAGTAAAAACTGCAACTTCTGCACCCACAAAACAGACATGCAAATACAGACAGTGCAGGTGAAACTTATTTTGCATGTAATGTTGCATTAACTACTGATAACAGGCATTTTAAGGAATAAGCACAATTTCATATATATAGAGCATTTTGGGACCATCTTAGTCCCAAAATGATTTAAAGGCTGAAATCAGGCTTCAAAGCTGTAACTTACTACCATCCAATCTAAACAATTCTATGAAGATATTACATATATCTATATTTTACATCTAAGAATAACTAATAGACTATTGTCCCATTTTGTGATTATAATCAAGTAAGGAGTCCAGGTAAAAAGCAATTATCAATCACAGAAAGGTAATAAAAAGATCTAGGTAGACTGTGCAAGAATTTGCAGAGCGCATGCACACACAAACGTGTTGTGCAGATCGTGTGTACACTTTTATCTACAGAGTGGGTCATGCATTCAATGCAATTAAAAATTCTCCTGAGGAATCTCAACATAAAACTTCACCAATTGCTTTCATACCCATTGAAAATCTTTGTTGGCATAAAACCTACATACAGAATCAGCAGTTACCTCACCACAAAACCTCCTTCCATTATGCTAATGTTTCCATCATATGAAAAACACCCTGATGTGTGAAATAGTGACATCTCAGTGAGACAGGACAAAGTAAGGCGAACTGCAGATCTTTGATCTAGCTGAAAGGGCTCTGCATTCTGATTAGAATTTTTGCTGGGATCCTAGGAGATGAAAGGATTTTTTTAAGTCTGACAGTTAACAGAGGGGGGGAGGTATTCAGAAGAGAACAAAAAGAGGAGCACTGAAAGCAGATGACGTCATGCCTCAAACTGGCCTTTACCATCTTACTGACATGTTTCACAATGTGGTATAGCAGTTTCCACACAGCTATTCTTGGGAGCTCAAGATCCTCTGTGGAGACAGTATGGCTGGAGATCCACTGCTTTAAAAGGATAGAAAATTGAAACAGGTCTAGATATAATACATATAATTGTATTTCAGAACCCTAAATGCATTATGGTAATGCTCCAGAATACTACTTTTTGAAACATCTGACATAATAGAAGGAAACTCCCCAGTCTACAAAGCTAGTGATTACAAGCTCTGTCACTCCTGTCTTCAGAAAACCTCGAGATAGCAAGCATACTTTCCCCTGATTCTTTCTGCAGGGATTTTGCCTTTTGTACCAGGAACATCTTCCAGCCTTGTAGGGGCCTTGGGACTGACTACCCTTCACCTCAGGTTGCCAGAGGCACCAAACACTGGGGACAGATATCAAAATCCCTTCTTTATACTCTACAAGCAGTTAAGGGGAAAAACACAGGACTCTGGGAGCATTCTCTCATTTATGTTCAGGAAAATGCACATACAGTCAACTTACCAGACCATTTGTTTGCAATGGATTTGTATACCTCAGAGGACACAAAACCATCTTTATTTTACACTGCCTTTCTCCTTTTTAAAAGCTTATTCTCCTTACATAAAGTACAAAAATTGTGCTTGGAACTGTTTCTCATGAAGGCATAAAAAGAGATTACTTGTCAAAGCTTCTCTGCTCCTTAATTCTCCCTCTCTACTCCCTCCATTTATGTCTCCTGGTGTGGCCCCTTTTTCAGGACTTTTTTGTGCCAAACATGCTCCCACATGCAAAGGCCTATCTTTATAAACACATCCTTCATTTGAACTCCAGTCTAAGTGCAAAGACCAGTTAAAGGGGTCTTGCAAATACCAATCACTACCTGTATATATGTGCATTTTTGAGAACAGTTTCATGGATCAATGCTGGAATGAATTGAAAAACGTTGCTAACATCACCAAAAGACTAACCATTCTGCAACACCAAAACAAAGCAGCACTGCAGAGACACAAAGAAAAATTCCAGCTAAAGCATGTCTGACAAGCCATGTGACACATCAGTACTTCTCTATTCTCTCCACATTGATACAAATGATTGCATTTGACGTGCACATAACTATATTCTCACCAGCCATGGGAGAATTATTTCTTAGGGAAATGGTAAATAACTGTAATTATTCTTGAAATGTAACTCTCTACACAAGGATGTGTTCTTAAGATAGAAACCTTGTATTTTAAACTGATGAATTAGCCAGGCACAGATGAAAAGTAAAAAGGATATTTACATGTTAGGAGATTCCCATACCATTCTCTACCTCTTACTATGGACCATTTTCTTGCTTCTATTTTTTTGTCACTCTCCTTGAACTTTTTTCAAAAAGAAAGAACATGTAAGAATAAAGAACCTGAAAGATACATTATATATGGATGTCTCACTATCTGGATTTTATCTGTACCATTTTGAGACTTAGTAAGTCACTTTCCTCTGCATGTCAGGGAAATCAAAGGTCTCTTGACATCCCTGATCATAGAGGCCCTGACTCAATCAGAGAGGGCTTAAGTATGTGCCGCACAAAATACTTTTCAATCTTCAAGAATGTTACTAAAAGGTACCAGACGGCTGGCATTAAAGTGGCTTTACCTTGTCCTGTTTTCATCTCTGCCATTGCAGGATGGAAAATTCATTTTTGACCACAGATTCTGACAGGACTAAGGAAGTCTTGATCAAAAGAAATGAAAGCTCCACTAACTTCCCCTCTGTGAGAGATTCTTCCTATTTTTATTTTTTCACTACAGGATTTTTTCACTGCAGTATTCAGATACTGTCCCATTAGTATCAGCGAATCACGGAGATTTGAATTCTAATGCAATTATGTATTTAAAACTATGCATTTAATTAAAACAGCCATCCAGCAAACATCTTAATTAAAATAAAAATCATTGTTATTTACAAATAACAACCTGACATTATTTGTAAGGATGCCTTCTCACACATTTTGACAGCATGAGTTACTTTCTCCATCAGAAGACTTAGCTTTCAACGTGTGTGTGCAACCATCCATAAAGGAATGAATTTGTTTTAGTGATCAGCAAGAATTTTTGCCCTCTTAAAGTCAATATTGAGAGGTATTGACTTAAAGCAAGCAAGCATTCAACCTGGCACCAGCAGTAAAGGTACCCTGTACACTTCACTTAACACAAGAATAGTTGCAGAAAACCCTAACAACCCATGCATAAGGTGAATCACACAGCTGATCTGGGAAACATGAAAGTAGTAAGGGGATAAAAACTACACTTCATTCAACCTTGACCTGATCATTACCATAGGATGTCCATTTTCATTTTTGCTAGTTCCAAGGAAACAAGCTTCATTGAGTCCTATACACACACACACAAATATGCATATAGCAATTTAGATAAATAATGACTTAGTAATAAAAAACTATCAGAAGGAAAAGCTGTGAACAAACATAATTCCTTATAATTTCTAATGTAAACCACAGCTGGAGGTTGCATTGGCTGTTCAGTAGTTCAAACTAACATGCCTGACAGGAATCAATGCCAGAGGTCCAGAGGAGGACAGCCATAACAACCAAGAAAGCCCTTAGGTGTGAGTTGTAAGACAAGTAGATGAGCATACTTTGCTAGAGAGAAACCAAAGCCAGTAAGCTGTAAAGGGTCAGTCTTCTTCAAAGGACAACACCTCATGGTATTTACTTGTATGACTCAAAGTTCGTGCTGGAGAGAAAAGATGCTTACTTGTAAAGGTAGTATTCAGCTTGATCCACTTCTTCTCGTGAAGAAATGTTGTCAACAAACTGATTAAAACACAAGAAACAAAAGCTTCAAGACGGAGCACTCACAAAGCATATTAGAAGAAAATGCAATAACAAAATACATTTGTCAGCATATTTAGCTGTCTGACAGTACCGGAATTCTTCACATCTTTGCTTGCTCCTAACTGGTTTCTTCTAGACTGCTAGAAGTCAAATCTTTCTAAACTGAGACAACTCCCTTCCTCACCTCTGAGAAACTTGCAGACCATCTGAGGATTAAGTCTCTAGAGTTTAGTACCCTGTATTTTTGGTGCTCTTCTGAATTTTTTCTCTTAATCACAACCTTTATTTTAAGAATACATTCAGGTCCTTAGGTTTGTTTGTTAGAGTTTTAAGTGAGCCTTGACATACCTTAATTCTCTTCAAAAAAATATCTTTTTCTCTAAAGTTGATTGTTGTGCCTATTCTTACTGTATATTCTGAAGGACAAGAGCAAAAGCATTTTGTATTTCACCATGCATATGAACACTGGTATAAAAAAAATCCAACCCCATGCTATAAAACACAATTTTCCTTTCATTTACAACCCTGTCTTCTTCAGGCAATCTTACAAAATTCCTAGTGCTATCAACTAAATACAAGCCAAGTTTTCACCCAGACTTTGTGTTATGGAAGTGTATCCTGTTTTCCTGCACCTTGTACTAACATAAAGACACCGAAACACTAGAGTCTTCCCAACATAATACCTCTAGCTGAGAATATATAAACATGTTCTCAAGGTCAGTACTTGTCTTTATCCTAAGCTAAAAATAATAATTTCAGCTGACTGGTATTTGATCTCCCATTTCTTAATTATCCTTGCATGCCGTACATTTATAGGTCTCATCTTTAAAGTGTGGCAATAGCATGCCTGGGTCCTTTATCTACCTTTTAGAAAATAAGTAACTGCTGTGAGCTCCAGGTATTGGAAAGTGGGGCTGTTTGACAATCTGAAAATGCCATTTCTCCACAAAAAAGGTACCCCAAAGCAGGATGATGCAGGAAAGGAATAAAGCTATTTAATAAAAGGGAGAGGAACACTCATTTCTCTCATGGACCCTGTCTCAGAAGCAATGATCAAGAATGTTTGATCTGTAAAAATGCTTGCTCTTGTAACTGAACAAAGGGTTCTGTGACTCCTCAGTCAGTGGTGCAAATGACCCTAATTAATGATATTACTGAGGTACAAGGGTGGTAATTCAGTTTTTTGTGGTAATTTTGAAGACTGAAATTTGTTTGTTTTCCTTTTTTTAAACAAGTGACATATTTATTCTCCTTCAATACAAACTCTCTTACACAGGTAACTTAAAAACACAGCTCACATCTTTGCTTTCGCTCCCCCTCTCCAGATTAACCCATGCAGAGGATGGAACTGGTTACTAATTCAAGTAAAAATAATGACTTTGCTTAACCCATGTCAGCATTTGTTCTGCCTCAGTCTGCTGCAAGGAAAGAAAACTACAGAAGCAAAATACGTCTACCTCTGCCTCACTGAAAGAAGTCTGGAAGTGGAGGAAGACAGACAGTGTAGGGTGTTAATTTATTGCATTCCATTAGCAGCCTGGGTTCTTATGCAGTGCCTGAGGAGGCATTAAAGCTCTCACAAAGACAGAAACCACAAGAAGGTTGGGAACATATACTAGGGAAAAACACAACCCACTAATAGTGAGGCCTGATTTTACAGAAAAAAGAAATATTCTGTTCTGAAGACCCTACGGTCCAGGTACTAACTAATGAGTCTAAAGTAACAATGAAACGGCTTTATACAGCCATCTAACAGTACAGCAAGACATTTATGATCCCAGAACTCCCAACTGAGGTGATATCATTTATTCCTTCTCAGCTCACTTGATTACACAAGCATTCCACGGTCATTTCTATGACTTCATGATTGGGATTTATTTTCTTACCCGGGCTATTGTCAAAGAGCTGACAGGCAGCTTTCTTTCATAGGTTCTGTCCATTAAGTGGGCCAAGTCAGCTGGAGAAAGTAGAAAAAGAGTACATTTAATCAACTGGCATTACAGGAAAATCTGCAGAGCCATCATATAACCTTGAATAGAACCTGTGTCCACGAAATCAAATTCTGGTTACTTTTTAACATCTCATTTTGAAGTTGTATGAAAACAGTACTTTCAATTATTGTTAAATACTTTAACAGAAAAGAATACATTAAAAGGTTCTCAACATGATGATCCTAACTTATTAGTAAAATGGGGAGAAAAGCAAACTACCCTATAATGTGCTGGATGAAATTCATATAACTACTATAACTCATCTAAAAAAAACAACTGACCAGATGTCCTCAGAATTCCCACTTGGTTTCAAGCCTAGCATACGCTGGACAGTGTTTTTGGCATGGATTTTTATTTTACAGTAAAACAATGAGAAACAGAAACAAGCAGTACCATACTGACAAACTCTTCCGTCACAAACAGCAATACAAAGAAATCCTATTAATCAAATTGAGCACTGTGCCAGTACCTTATTAACTTTATAGCATTCTCTTCAGCAGTCATATAACAATATTAATTCAACCATACACAGCTTGAAACTTCTGACTGTTGAACAGGTAGCTAGCCATTGCTGCATTTAATGAATTTAATTGGAAGTTAAATTAATTTAATTTAGAGTTTTAGTTTTATACTGTTCCTGGAAAATGAAGATGACAACAAAGGATGCTGAGCTGATGTGGGCCACCAAGGCCATGCTACACCAGATAACAACTAAAAAGCAGACTGACTTCTTTATTGGTAAAGAAATTTAAGTGGGAATAGCCTTACAAGAAGTGTCTATATTTGACTCTATCTTATCCAACTCTCTAGCAGTCACAAACACCATGATGACACACACGGGCAAAGGCGTTGGGAGCTTTCCCAGTAGTGACAGAAGTTAGAGAGAAGGGATACTAAGACTAAGTCAACTTATCCAGAACAAAGACTGCCTAGGTACTTGCCTAAATGTACCAAGCTAACTGTCATCCACCATTCTTCATCTCCATTTCAAGACAGTTGGAAAGAAGTATTCGTTCCAAAATCTGATATGCTGGACACAGCAATGTGGACCTGAGACAGACAACTGCACATATTGGGAGTTGATTTATCTATTGCAGAACTACAGTTGTTACGCATCACTCTCTGAAAACTGGGTGATCCCTACGGCCATTTTGGGCTACACTCAAGCCCTGAGCTTGGCATTTCTTTTGTCTAGGTGCTCATGAAGATGAACAGCCCACTGAGTACTTAAGCAGAATATAAACCCAATGAATACAATGGCATGAATGCAAGATCACAAGACTGTTAGCCATTATACACCAGCATCCTCTGGGAGAGTTCACATGCAGAATTTTAATCATTGACCTTTAATGCTGCCTACAAAGCTGGAACTCTCCACCAGAACTATAGTATGGAAAGCAACATGAAGCACTTATCAATCAACTCCAGTGTAAGAGTCACAATAAACTGAAAGTTGATTAAATCTAAAAGAATAGCAGACAAATTAAGATAATGGGAAATTCAGGTTTTTTTCCATACAAGCTGCTGTTTCTGTGGTAGTTACTAGATAAGAATAATTTGCAGTGAGTAATTCTTTACTGGTTTGTTTTCTCTGAAGAGCATCTAAAATCAGACTTTTTTTTTCTCATATTCACATTTTGAAATAATTCAGCTACCTTTTGTAAATCAAGTTTTCTCCATTGTTGCTACTCAACAATCAAGATTAAAACTTCTTCTTCATCAAAAAAAACCTAACAGAAGTACTAGAATGCAAGCATGTGAATGCCCAAATCTCCTGTCATTGCTGGTAGTAAAACTTGAGCGCTAACACTAGTATATAAACCAAATCAGTATTTTAACAGACAGATCAAAATTCTACGTTCATTTTAACAGACACATGTTGCATAAACTCAGTGTCTTGCTGCCTGCAATAGGGTGATTAAGGACAATGACTGAGAAAATACTGACCGTCACCTTCCAAGTCAGTGGTTATGACTTCTAACACCAGTTTGGTGGCCTAGGAAATCATCACAGTATCAGTTTGGTTCACAGTGTGTACCTATGCACAGAACGTAGCCACATCAAGTAGAACAGTAAGTGGTATGTTTAACCACCACGTAAGGTCACTTTTATTCTGTTTATATCCTTGTATTCTTAGAAGTGGTTCATCCAGAACAGTGTTCTGATCCCCAGTGATAGGGAAAGAAGATACAAATGTGGTGCAAAATTTACTTGTCTTGGGAATGATGGGCAGAGCTAACTCATAGGCTAACCATTTGATATAAGGAAAGCCTTGATTTATTTTAAAGATCCAATTAAAATATAAAGGAAGGCTAAGGCAAATATTTTACCTTACAATTTATACGTTCCACATTTCTCTCTACTTCCACACAACTAGCAGCTTCTGGAAAGAACAATAGCTTTGTACTGAACAAGGCTTTGAATGGAAGTCATTCAAGTCTATAAAGGCAGCACTGCCACCTGGTGTTGCAGGTGAACCGTTTTAGGCACTCTGAATCTAACGCCATCCCCTGGGATTCTGGTAATTGTTTTTCTTTTCATGAAGGTGCTTACTGTGACTTACTTTCATTCTTGTTAGTGATGAACCAAGTGAAGCAATAGAGAATTTAAGCCGAGCCATGCCTTCTGTTTCCTTGATACTACATTTTTAGTAAATGGAGTCCAAACCACATCTAGGTAGATATCTTCCTACCAGCAAGCAGCTTGTAAATTCCAAATTAACATATTTTCCATTCCTATCTTTTTGAACAAATGCCCTTTTGTACACAAAATACAGACTTGTTCTTTCCCACACATTTTTCAGTACTGAAGTTTGCTAAACTCATTCCTGCCTGGAATGCTAAACTGAGATTACAGAGATGACAATAAAGTGTATCTTACATGGATGCAGTAAATGAGTTCAAGTCTGGGATGGCACATTATTGCAGCAGAGAAATGGAATTGACTTTAAATAAGAAAATACTTAAATACTTTTTTTTCCTTTAAAAGTATCCTCACAACATAGTTTTGCATAATAACAGTTCTGAAACAATGTCTGAAGAACAAATAAAAGAGCATCTCCTCAGCACAAGGAATTCACTCAAGCTATAATCAGCAGTTACCACACACAAGATTATATGTGCAACCATACAACTGACAGCTACAGAGCAGACGTCTGCAGGGCTGTCTCCTCTTTGAAAATGCTAATAAAGCTGACACCATGTTAACTTATTTTCTCTTTTCTGTGAACACAAAATGAAAATGCAAAGCAGTTCTTTGAAAAGCATGGAACAGACATCTGCTTTGGATCAAGATAATCAGCAGAGGAGCAGCAAGAACTGTGCCTGCCAAACAGTCACAGAAGATCTTGCCAGGCCTGGGAAAAGCCAAACATGGACTGGACCAGCACTTGCACAACAGTGTTTTCTTCAATGGTGGATTTCTATTGGCTATGACATTTGTCAAAATAATAACCCATTTTCACCTGAAGGTGACAGGTTCAAATACATCACAGGGCACAAATTTGTGGCTCCAGCCCAAAAAACACTGCATGAGCAGTCCTATTGACAGTAAAGGGTAAACAGTCTCCACAGTCTCCACAGGATTCCAGCTACAGCCATGAGGACCCACCAATTGTTTCTGATCCAGGTACAGTATAACATGTTGGCAATCCCAACCCCTACATGTTCACATGCAAATACGAGAAACAAACCAGGGCGTAAAAAACCATCATTCTGATCATTTTGTCTGGCTTCCTGCCTGACACAACTCCTGGAATTTCACCTGCTGATTCTTCTTTCAGCCTCATAATCTGCATTGTAAGTAACAACTACGGTTCAGGGGCCCAGGGAAAGAAAAAGAGAAGACGAGGATTATGCATTAAGGAGTCTCCAAACACCTGTGGTACAAAATACTGCATATCTATCTTTAGCATGGAAATATGTTTTGCAAGATGTTTTCTATTTAACATAGTCACCAAAAAGATGGTGGAACGTAATTTCAAATGTAACATAGCCAAATAATTTAGCTATAAAACTTGCACTAAAGATCTCAGTTCTGTATGCAGATACAGTTTAATGTACAGTTTCTTGAAAATAAAACTTTTGGTTTCATTCCGCCCCAAAAAATCTGTAATTCAACAAGAAACTGCAAAACTCTGAGGAAAATGTTCCTTTTAAAAAATGTCTTTAAACAGGACTGTCCTGCAATACTTAAGTTTTTCTTTCGCACTGCTGCACAATTAAAACAATGTCAACGAAAATGACACTTGGATACAGCCATAACACTTTGGATTTTGTGAAAGAAAAAAGCTAGCTTGTAGAAACCAAATATTAATCAAATGGGCAAATTCTAGCTTGTTTCTGCATTATAGCTTTGAATATTTATGACAAATTTTTAATATGCTGAACACCTTTTGACACAGAAGCTTAGTAGAAGCATATTGCTTCACACATTTTCTTATTTACAGATGATGAGCTAGTAAAAAATTAGTTTAGCTTGCTAATCATTTGATAAAGTGGAGACAAGAAACAAACTTTTCTCACCCAGGTTATGCTCCTCTTTTTGTCTCTTTTCCCATTTTGAGCTATCCACATAGGCTGCAGAAAGAAGAGATCTTCTACCTAATGAAGAAAGACAATACTGTGTAAGCTAGTTTGCTTAGACAACTCTAAACAAAGTAACACTTTATTAGATATTATCTTTTACTGTCCCATTTACTGAGTGGGATGCATTAAGCTGTCTTTATAACACAGCAGTCAGCAACTACTACTGTAACAATTCTGATTCACTGTAATTATTATTATTTTAATTAGTATTTAATTATTATTATACTTATTTTTATTTATTTTTATTATTTTCTTGTAATATTTAAAACAGAAAAGCTTTCCCCTATAAGGTTTTTTTCATCACGAAACAAATATTTCCAAACCTGAACTCTCTATTTAAGAAAAGGACAAATTTGTAAAGGCAGAAAAAGACCCAAAGAACAATAAAAGCAGTTTCTTTGTGCACACAGACCTTTTTTATCAAATGCTATCAATTAGCTAAATGTAGGCTAAAAAACATAAGCAAAAAACATGGCTATGCACAAAAAGGCTTTTCTGTTGTTGCTGGATAGTTATTTTTTCTACCTGTAAAGACCTGTCTCACTGGAAGTGAAAGTTAGATGCTCATCTGGAAATACTTCCCTTTTAATATTCTCCTTTTTTTCCATCTCCTGTGAATTGTCCATTCACAGAAACATTTTTGGAAGTTTTTTCCAAATACTCATTGTACCACCTTTGAAATCTGCTCAAGATGCTGTACTAGGCTTTTGAAACAAAACAGAAAATGCTTCAACTGAAAGAATTTGTACATCAGCCACAGATGATGTGTTCTTGAAAATGCATGAGGAAGATCTGGATAAAATTTGTTGAAGGAAGATATAGGAATACATGTAGAAGGTTGCAGAAAGTAATGTTAAGAAATATGAAATATTTTAGAAATAGACATTACAATACTACACAGAAGTCTAAGCAACTACCTTAAAGCTTTAAAATCAGCTACCTCTGAAAGTTTAGTTTTGGTTGTGAAACAATTTTTCTCTTCATCCTTCTGACACACCATTATACACACATGTCCACCTCCGAACAACTTTGCAAACCTCTATCAAAAAGGCCCAGAACACAGAATTCCACAGTCAGAATATGAGAGTATCTACATCACTTCACCAAACAGAAAATAAGGTATTTTTGTTTGGTTAGTACGGTTTCTTTTAGTGCTATTTTTAATTAGGTTGACAAAAGAGACATACAGAAGACCTGGGGAGGTTGGTGTGAGTTTCTGGGGATTTTTTGGTTGGGTTTTTTTTAGGGTAAATTACTGTATGTTTATTCACGCAAAGGATGCTACTACCAAGCATGAGGCTTTACAGAACTATTTTCTATACCAAAACTGTCCGCCTGACAGCTCTATGCTCGGGTAAGCCGAGGTCAGGGCTGAGCTCTTCACGCCGGTTCAGCGCCAGAGGGAAGGAAGGGCGGCGTGGTTGAACCCTGGGCATCCAGGAAGCAGAACGGAGGAAAGCGTGCTCCGCGTGTGAAAAGGCACAGCGGAGTCACCCATCACCACCACTCTTTAGGCAAACGTTACTGAGCTCAGTTCTTCCCAAAGGTCACATTTTTGTCTTTTCCAAGACATCAGCCTTGCGGCTCTTCTGTCACCGGCGTTACCAGGTTGTGCTGGGCACTCACTGCCACGGGCTTGGCGGCCTCTCATACCATTCCGCGTGGGTTCCCCCGGCCCAAAGGGGCAGGCCCTAAAATGTCGAGCTATGAAATCCGCACGGTGGAGGATCCACTAAAATACAAATTGAGAACACTCTCCTACACTGCACGCCAGCGATAAGACGTCCACAGAGCTGCCTCCAATTTCACACAGATATACGAAGAGAGAGAGAAACGGGGGAAGGTGAGGGCAGTCCCGGTGCAGCATCCCACCCCTGCTCACACTTCCCACCTCCGCCTGCGGCAACCACGCCACCAGCGCCGCGCCCCGGCCGCGCCTCCCGCCCCGCCGCGCCCCCCAGCAGCGCACCGACCTGGGCCGCGCGGGGCCCTCCCGCTGCGGAGCACGGCGCGCCGGAGCATGGGGCGGCCATGGTGCCGAGGCCGGAGGGGGCGGCGCCGGGGAGACTGCGAGTGCTCCGCCCGCCCCGCCCCGCGCGGCCGGTGGCCGTGAGATGGCGGCGGTGCTGGCGGGCGGTCCCGGCGGGCGGCGCGGGAGGCGGCGCGGCGCTCGGCGGTTCGCCTGCCCGCCCGGGCGCCTGGGGCTGCGTGCCGCAGGTACTGCGGGCTTCGCGGCGGGGGCGGCGGGGGGCCTGGCTGGGGACGAGGCTGCCCGCCGGTGCGGCGGATACGGGTACGGCAACACTCGGCAGGTCCGGCGCCGCCGCCAGGCGTGGGCCTGACGGGAACTGTAGTTCCTGCCTGGATTCCCTTCTCGGCGCGTGGTGTTCTGGCGGGGAGCGCCCAGGGGCTCCTGGTGGGAAGGCCGTGCAGGGAGGGTGGGCAGTGGCCTTACAAGATCATAAAATGAATCCCAGAATGGCCTGGGTTAGAGAGGACCTTAAAGATCGTCCGGTTTCAACCCCCTGCCATGGGGACACTTTCTACGGGATCGGGTTGCGCAGAACCCTATTCAGCTTGGCCCTGAGCGTTTCCTGGGATGGGACATGCACAGCTTCTTTGGGCTATTCCAGTGCCTCACCACTCTCAGAGTAAAGAATTTCTTCCTAATATCTAATCTAAACCTACTCTATTTTAGTCAAAAGCCATTCCTACTTGTCCTAGCCCTACATGCCGTTGTGAAAGTCCCTCTCCAGTTTTCCTATAGACCCTCTTCAGATACTGAAAGGCCACAGTAAGGTCACCCTGGAGGTCAGCGTTAGTGAGCGGATCTCCTACTTGCTGCTGTCAGGATGTGACATTGAAAAGGAAACAACCAACCAAACACATGTGCAGTTTCATAAATGTGTGTTTATTCTGGGAGGATGACAGTGTTATCCAGACTCTGGGCTTCAGAGGCCTTCCAAAGGCACTCCCTTGCCCAGAGAAGGAAATGGGGGCACATGGAAAAGAGATGTATGTTGCAGAGCTCTGAGCCCAGGCCCTGGCTGGGCTCCTGGCCTGTGGAGGCCTCGCTCAGGTTACAGCTCTGTTAGACCCCTCAGAGACATGGAGCCCTCCGTTCTGCCTCGTGCTCTGCCCACCCCTCTTCACTGGCCAGCCTGGTAGAGGGTTGTGAGGCAGAGCAGGTTAGTTGGTTAAGTTCTCTGGGATAGCCTGCACCACCTGCACATGCCAGCCATCATATCCATCTCCCTCCTTTTTCATTCGAGGTCCCCTTGCTTGGTTTTGCACTGGTTTGTTTCTGTAACACTGTAAGGTATGAATCTAAGGAAGCAGTGGAATTCATCAAATTGAATTCAAGAAGGGTAAAATTCTGCTGCCCCCCACTCTCTGCTAACACTGTCCGTGACCACTGAGTGTCTGTCATATGCAGTGTGCTGGTCCTACCCCAGGCACTGTCATGATTCCTGCACCAGCCCTGGAGAGGCCCAGGACTGGGATGGGCTTTCGCTGTTAGACCAGGTCTGTGGTACCTAAATGGTGGCTAATACAGATCAATTTTGTGCTGGATAAATTGTGGTTTTTTTCCCATTGGAACAGTTTCCATTAAATTTAATGGATGAATGTGCCATTAAATGGATTTTTTGCTTCAGGTTTTATGAAGTGTGTCATTAGCATGCTTTGCTTGCATAGAAAACAAGTGGGGTTTTTTGCATGGCCTGTTACATTTTTCTAGGGAAATGCAGAATGAGAATAAACAACCTAACTCAGTTCAATACTTGTTCTTGTCCCTTCATGGTTCCAATAATTCTTTAAGAAGCCAAAACTTTAAAATACTAGATTGTAACAATGTAATCTACTACAGTGACTCTCTGTTACAAAGTCATTAGTTGCAAATAAAAATCTAATGGACATCTGATTTTGTGACAGCAAAAACTTGTCAAACAGGTTTTGCATGACACTTTTATTAAAGCAGCTTGCAACACAGTACAGTTGAGGTCAGCACCCAAAGTTAATTTTGAGCTTCTAGATTAAATAACTGTCTTACCTCTGTGTCTGTAGTGTAACAGAACTTCACTAGGTCTCCTGAGTGTTACTGGAATCCAAGTAATACAGTTGGTGTTTTTATAAATTCAAAAAATAAGCTTTTTGTGTCTTCGTACTGCTTTTGGAGCTTCCAGAATGATGCGTTCTACAGCAGTGGGGACAGCGCTTAAGGGGAAAGCAAGCTGTGCCACTAGTGAATTGTGGACAATAAAGAAATGACAAAAAAATCATTATGAAAGTATAAAAGGAGGGAAAGACCTTATTCCGGAGCAGAATGCTCCTCTTCCTTGGTGAAGAGGAATATTGCCTCTACTTTTTCTTGTGCTCATTCAATAACTAAATACTTCTTCATCCTTGTGCACATAAAGTCCATAGAGCTGTAACATAGTATTTGTGTTCTTTTGTTTGTGACATGAACAACTTCAGTTTTTGCAGTCTGTTTTTTAATGTCATACTGACAATGGTCTGGCATCAGAAAATTGAAGTTAGTAATTAATACATGCAAGGTTCAGTAGTAATAAATCAGACAGTATAACATAAAACTCAATCTTCCTCTTTTTTTTTCTTGTGATAGGGAAGCGGTATCTGCTAACAGAAGAAGATATAAAGTTACAAGAATTTCAACAGATGAAAGTGGCAATTAGGAATGAAGTTCATGGCAATAAAGGTATAGAATTTATTTCATAGTCACCATTCTCAATTTTAGCATAAGTCCTAGGAAACAAAACAGTCCAAGTTACGAAAGTATGACACTAATTGATCCCATTTAAAGAAACAACTTATGTCTTCCTCCTGCAAATTTTTTGTATCTACCATTATTGGAAGACCTGAGGCTTTGTAAAATGAAACAATGTTAATTATCCTGTGTTGAGAATATGTGTGGAGAAGCTTTCATGTGTGCAAGGTGTTTGCATAAGACCTGAAATGTTTGTGTCCTCCCTTTTCAAACTTTTTAAGATAATTTAATAGAAAATACTGTTTCAGTCTACAAATATCGCTTCAAATACATCATCAACAGAGAAGGGAAACACAAAGCCACATAGTTACCTAAGTATCCAGAAAAGGCCTTCACCAGTAATTCTCTTTTAATCTGTTCTGTAAGTTTAGTTAGCATATTCTTTTAGATTTTTTTTTCTTTTGCCTTGTGTAAGTTCTCAGTTGTACACCCACTTCCAACTGACATATGCTACACCGAATATGAAAAACAAATTCAGGTTTTCCAAACTAATATAGGAGCAGAATCAGTGGATTTTTTCTAGCAGGGATTTTGTCATGCTGTTTAAAATGTATACAAATTCCTTTCTTTAAGAAACATAGGTATAAACATAAAGCTGCCCTTATTATTTAAGAAAGCTTAGGCAAAACTGCTTTATCATGTGTGGGTGTTCTAGTGTTCCAAAGGTTGTACTTAATTTTAAGACAAGGAAGAGACAAATAAACAAATCTAGTTTTATGTAAATCAGTCTTTTGGGACAGAGAGGGAAGTAAAGTCAACCTGACAGTTTTTTCTATATTTAGTAAAATTTAAATTGTGCAGTTGCAAGTCATAATGTTATTATATTTTGCTGTAATGATGTCATACTTATATTGTAGTTTATTCATCCCATACTTGAGATACATTGAATTTATTGCTGTGGGTCAATCACTTTTCCTAAAGCAGATTTGTAGAAGCCAAAGGTCACAGTTGACCTTTTAGTTTCATACAAATAGTAGCCTCTGAAAACTAATGAAAACATTGTGCTAAACATCTGTTAATGTGTATGTGTGAATAGTTTCTGTACTCAGTGTTTAATGTAATATGTGAAAAATGAAAATAAGTAATTAGAGCTAATAAAAACTTGGTTTAGTAATGGAAAAAGCAGTAATAACTGTTGCACAGAATATATAATAGCTATTATTTATTGTAGTTATAATCCAACCATTAACGACAATAGTTATGCTATTAACTACCGCAGTTATACAATTACCTACAATAGTATAAATACCATTCAGATCCCAGGTATTTTTTGAATTTCTGTACACCTTTGAACACATCACAAGCATTATATATGCCTACTTGTATGTATACATTCTTCTAACTTCCAGGATTCAGCTCTGTATTTCAGTCTCGAGTAAGGACTTGCAATTGCATGTAGCAACAGATATGCATCCAGTAACTGAATATGTTGTTCCCTGTGGTGCCTACTTTTTACCTCTTGGGTAGCTCACTAGCTTGGAAACAGCAGTGCTACAAAAAAGATTGCTTCTCTCCCCAAGATGTGGTCAGCACCATGAGAGGAATGAGGCTGTCAGGTGGTACATGTGATTTTAATCTTGTGTGTGTTGGTCAATGGATTGAGATTACCAACTGGAGGACTCATCTTTGTGCTTGATTTGTCATAGGAAAATGGGTGGGATAGAGAACCATCTTGTTTTGGAGCAGGGTAAGAGAAGCAACTCTTAAGTTTATGGCTGTGTGTAGAAAAACACAGATTATATAGGAGAGTCTTTGTGTTTTCATCAGCTGTGAAGAAATTTGAGTCTTCTGTATGAACAGTGTTGAGTAGTTTTTACAGTTGTTTGAATGCTGTGTGGAATTGGTTTTGTTTGTTTGCTTGCTCTTTAGAAAAAGAACAGAAGACAAAAAATGTCACAAAACTTTCTTCCTCATTAAAACTTTTCCATTACCAGATATGTTCCATAACATACACAATTAATTAAGTTCACAATATGCATCTTCTTGGTTTTCCAAGTTTGACATGACTTCATGGAGTCACTTTGGCATGCTTGTCTGTGAGAAGCTTTATGCATTTTTCTTGGTGAAAAAACAAGCTTTCTGATTCATTCAGTCTCCATGTTTTAGGTACCAAGTATGCAACACCTGTAATGGAATTGTCTATAGACTGCTCCTGTTATGTATTTTATTTTCAGATCCGTATTTTAGAAGTATTAAAGAAAAATTAAAGAAAAATGGAATAATTCTCAAAAATGAATTAAAAAATTTACTGCATTTATGTCAGACTTCATCTGATGTGGAATTAGCCAGAAAAGTTATTTACAGGTATTTTTTAAAATCCAGGTAACGCTCTTTTCTGTCTTTATTTTTTTGTCTTTTATTAGATCATCCCAGATTATATCTGCAGTTGAGTGCTTGTCCTGATTCAATGGCTATAGGCATAATTAATCTCTTAAGTTAAGGCTGTGTTTTCATTTTCTTTGGGTCTTCAAACCCTTCAAAGACTCTGAGGTCAAAGGAGGGTCAAGCTATGAGAACAAAGTAGTGTCCTACTGCAGAATGAATGGGGAACCACACAGAAAAATCATCCCACAGCTGAGAAGCAGATGTATTTTCAGGGTTTTTTTCCAGCCAAGACAGGCCTGATTATAAACTGGTCTGGAACCAGCAGTGGCAGATTAATGGCAGGAGGTTTTGTGAGTGAAAACTTTCCCAGCAATTACAGTGTAGGACCTATAAAGTAAAAATTAAAATACTCTCTTTTTGTAGAGGTATTTTGTCAGGTATTGCTGCTAAAATAGACTGCTGCAACTTCTGTGCTGTCGTTCCATGAATAGAAGGTAAAGTAGCTGGGAATTTTTTAGGTAGAGACCCATTCTATTATTGATTTAATGTAGATTACAGGTAATAGAAGAGATAATTTATTACTAGTTAATTTATTAGTTTGATCAAAACTATATTTTTCCTTAAAATTTAATCTCCTGTTATCTATATATCTTTGGCTGGTGCAGATAGAAGAGTGTGCCTCTGTCATTGCACGTGCAGATCTTGCTCTCTGTTTAAAGCTGTTCTCCCTGGCTAATTCCATCCTCTGTGTGATTAACTTTTTTAATCTTTCCAATAGGTACCATGAACAGAATGGAATAACAGCCTTACAGAATTTTAAATTTGGGCCCCTCTTTATGAGGCTATGTTATGAGCTAGACCTTGAAAGACCTGCAGTAGAACTTATCAAAGATCAGGTACTTCCCCTTATATTTCAAAAATGCCTTTGTTGTTGTTGTTGTTATTATTACTCAATATATTCTCAGTCAATGTATTCTCAAATATGAGAAATGGTATGCTACCAATAGCAAAACAGTAATTAAAAGGAAATTAAATGCTAGTTTGACTAGTAACTTTATTTTATTTCTGTATAATAAAATTGAATAAAAAATATTCATGAAAAAATAATTACTTAAGTTAACATGGCTGATGCATGTTTTCCCACATCCTGTATTGCATTAGATCACTCTTGGAATGAATGCTTCTGAGTTTTTCTGTGGTAGCCCTCTGAAATCCCTTGTGTTATTTGTACCAGCAGATTTATCATGGTACTCTACTTCAGATTCCCTCTGAACTCTGTAGAAGTGGTATGATGTTCAACAGCTCAAGAACTTGGCCATTTTAGTGCTGAAGAAACTTAAGGACTTGTTTTTGAACGTCTAAAACTCTTATGTGTTATTAAGGCAATAATGTGCTTTCAAAAATGTCTGCTAGCCAGTGAAAAGTCATGTCTCTGATGCTAATTCATTAAGGCATGAGATACACCCAGCAAGAAATGGGAGAAGTCTTTGTTCTTAAATTAGACATGTAAGAGTATGTAGTTTTTATTTTGGTTTGTTTTTTTTTCTTATTGGGATCTATGTCATTAGACAGGTCCTGCTGTACTTGCAGGACATAGTAACTGGTGGATACTGAGATACTGAGTCTGAGATACTTCTTCAGACTCTGCTACAGAAATTTAAACTTAATATGTCTGACATTTTATTTGGCTATTCCCAACACAGTGTGGTTGAAGTAGAACATAATATGCAATTTCTCTTTCTTCTGCTACTCTTATCATCATCACTCAAGCTCTTGTGCTGACCTGTTCATCATTTGATATTGTGATTAGAAAAAAATTCTTTCAATTTCATGGCGATGTGCTTAACTACAAAGATATTGATCGTCAGCTGCAAGCTGTCAGGGACTTCTGCTTGCAGTGACTTAGGGGTTACAATCTGTCATTAAAAAAATGATAGGAGGACTCTGGGAAATTTCTGTTTAATTTTGGTGAGCTTTTGACCATACCGAGTCACTGATATTTTAGAGATTACTTGACAGAGGGACGGACAGTCAGGGAACCCAGAGAGTTAAACGTTGAACTTGTAAAGATGAGACTTGTTCCAGTAGGAACACCTGCTAAATGCTGTGCACAGTAAGACTGTTCACACTCCTGACCTTTTTTATGTTTGCTCTATTTCTCTTCCAGAATTTGCATGGTTTTTTCTCAGAGAGTACATCATTCCATATTTTGATGACTATGTTGTTTAAAAAAGGCCATTTTGAAAGTAAGTATTGTGTTTACTAAGACAAGTTAATTTTGAGGAGGATGCTTCTCACTGTATGTATTGTGTGTGTATATAAATATATGTATTTTTTTAATGAATATTGCTAGTTGGCTATGGTTTTAGATGACCAAACATCATGTAAATAAGTGTAGATGGGAATGAGTTGCACTGTAGCATGTAATAAAAATGGAAGACAGTATTGGTCTTCTACTTCCTGCAGTATTCTTGCCATTCAAGTTGCCTGGAATTGTTTTTATCCAGGAGACCTTGTCTCCTAAACCCTCTTCTCTAAAGTGCTAACTTCTTTTTGTGTTGTAATTTCCCATAGCATTTTGTTTTCTCTATTCAGAGTTTGCTTTATGTGGGTTTTTGAAATGGTATGTTCTTCAACAGTGTTTTGGCTGTTCTGCATTAGTGTCAGTGGAGAGAAGAATACCCTTTCTCCAAAACTGTGGTCTTCTCTTGGTTTGTCTTACTAGTGCCATCACACAGAGTGGCTACTGCAGTGTTTAAGTCCAGTGCTTCAAATCAGTTTGGCCCTTTGTGAGGATAAGGAAAAATCATCTAACCTAACTTAAAAGACTTTCCATGAGAAAACCTTAAATTTAGTATGGAATAAGCTTTTCAAGCAAATCCCTTCATTTGAAATCTGTTGAATACGCAGCACTTGATCTCTTGATGTTTAGCAAATATAAGTTCAGCAGCTGTCCTAGAAGTTGAGACTGAACCACTGTAAAAATAACTAGATCAGCACCTGAATGCAGCCATTATGCTGAGGCACGTGAGTTATTGAGGGGATGTTATGGAGTTTGCCTGAAGTGGTGCAAGATTTCTGGGTAGTTAGGAAGAATGAGGGTGACTTTGTCAAGTATCTAGAATTTAGCTTCAGATTCATATAAAAATAATTAAAGAGTAAGGCCATATTCTACTGTAGACTGAAAACCTCCTTGCTAAGAAGAGGTATTTATATCCAACTGACCATGCATTAAACTTTTTGAATTATTTTCTTTTTAAAATAATGGATTTCAGTTTGCATTCTTATTTACAAATAGACTTACTGAGCTCATAGCATGTTGAACTGTTTTTTCAGTTACTAAAGGTATAGCCATAAATTTGTCAAGTGAGTAAGACTAATATATTTTTGATAGGTGCTTTGGAAGTTCTGGTAGAAATGAAAAAACAAGGTATACCTTTCAACAAAGAAACATATCTACTTGCATTTGCAATATGCTATAAGCTGGTAAGTATTTTCAATTTACATTATGAAAAAGTGTTTGAAATGCATTTTTTTTGGATTTTAAAATTTCCATATTTTCCCTGTCATGATTTCCTGTCTACTGGAAATATTTTAGACATATTTAAGTCCTAAATTGCTTCATTGTGCATGATATAGTGCCCATATATAGTTTCCCATACAAACTAATATCACAAAACAAATCTCTGCAAGTTTGCATGGACATAAGCATTAAGGAACAAATTTGCTACAGCCTTATAGTATTCTTTCTCTGGGAACTTTACAACTCTTCAGACTATATTGTGTGCTTGAGCCTCAATATCAATTTTATAGTCTGGTTTCCTTAAGAGACAAGGCTTATATGTGATTGGTCTGTTTGTCAGACATTTCCCATCCATTTCCCCCCTCCCCTGACAAGTAGCCTTGAACCATTTCTGTAATTGCATCCAAATTTGACAAGGAATAGAGTTGTCAAAGTATTCTGTTCCCTACATGCCTGATGAAAATGGACAGCTGAGTGGAGAAAAGAAACTTAAAGGAATGCCTCTAGTGAGAGACAGGCTGTTCTTGAGCTTACCTGTCTCAAAGAAAAAGAGCATGAACACGGTGAGAAGCTGGGCTACATTGGTTTTACGAGTGTTTCCTTAGAACTGTTTTCCTTTTGTAGCAAAGTGAGATCCCAGAACTTTTTTTATTTTGATCTTCCTCTCCAGATTTGAGTCAGTTCTGCAGTTTGAAATATTAAAGTGGACCCTTCCCAAACTCAGTTATAAAGTTTTCTTCCATTTTCTCATGTGTTACAAAGATGCTAGCTGAGGAAAAAGTTACACCACCAGACTAAACTTCTTCAGGTTTCTCAGTTAAACATTAAATGAAACAGAGTGCCTATGTGAAAAAGGAGTAGGCCTAAAATAGTACCTCAGCAGTAATTTACGTGGTGCTTCTGCAATTCTCAGTTCTGATGAGTTAGCCCTGCCTCTAGGTCTGCTGTAGCTTCTTCCCTAAAATCTTTACGTTTTTTTACATCGCCTGCAGTCAGAAGGCTTGGACCCATGGCACATGCAACAGGAAGAGGTTCCCGAGGCTTCTGTTTTCCACTACATCTGGCCCTACATGTGTTTTCAATAGAGAATCTAACCCATTATTACTATTGATGAAAATAGAGGGGAAACAATTCTAAACTGTCACCCGATTGTTTTAACAACCACAATAAACTCGTGGGTTTTTTCATTGAGATAAAATAGTACCAAGAGGGGAATAAGCTGTAGTAACCCTTTATGCGCTAAAGAGGATTAGGTGGAGCTCTTTCAGAAGCTTAATCTGTTGATTCATCTGTTAGGAGGAGGAGGAGAAACCACGAAGCTCAAAAGTACTTTTGTGCATGCTGCAAGATAAGAAATGTCAGAAAAAATCTTGATGGGAAGTATCTTCATATGCACTACTTGAATAATGGAAATAGTGGTATTGATGTCATTAAGAGCTGTGCTCAATTTTTACCAGGTTAATTTTTGGTTTTTTATGAATAATCCCGACAGAGACCAGTACAGAAAAATGTACAAGGCTTAAAGCTCAGATTATTGCCAGTGGATAAACAAAGGAATTGATGTTTAATCTTTGTTCAGAGGTGTTTTACAGGTCAACTCTGAAACACTTCTGGGATCTTTTAAATCACTATAAGGTACTACTATCCTCTGAGACAAAAGATGGTCCTTCTTTTAGTGCAGGAAAGAACTATAGGCCTTTGGATGACAACAAAGTATTTACGTAATAATCAATCTTCTGGTGATCAGAATGTTTCTAAATTTTTGAGAACATGTTTTAAACCATATTTTGCAGGAATGACACTTTGAACACTAGGAACAAAAATCAGCACCAAATGAGGACTCTTGTCCATATCGGTGGTACCAATTGTTACAAAATCTTCATGCTGCCAGCTTTTAAGTTTGGCAGATACTATTTTGTTTGGAGTCCAGTCAGTTCCACCCATAATTTCCAGTGTGAGCCGTATTGATTTGGCAAGTTGGTGGTTTGTGAGGTAGCACATAGCTAAACTCATTGCCTTTTATTATAGACTCTAGTGAAAATTGTCCCAGGAATAATGGAAGCTTTCTGTGTTGAAAAACATGCAAATGTCTAAGCAGTCATATTAGAATATATGCTTTGGAAACATTTTTCAAGATTTGATCTGTAAGAGAGGCTAAAAATGACTGAATGTTCAAATTTGCACATACACAGACTTCTTTAGTGTAGTGGTGCTGAGTAGTTCAATGCTTAGAAAATATTGACTTTTTAGTAACTACCTAATGTGGATTCTAGAATAAAGGACAAAAATTAATCTTCCTTCCTGATTTTGGAATTATTCAGAAGTGAAAAGGAAAGTGTCTGTTTGGTTTAGGATATTGCCACAGGTTTTTTATCTCTTGTAGAAGCCAAAACAGGGCCAGGTGTAATTCTTAAAAGAATGGAAGTTATGTTTACCTTCTTTTGACCTCTGTCATTTTAAATATCATATTTTGATGTTGTGTTTCTCAAGAAGTGCTGCACAGAATCTGCTTGGTTGGGTTTAGATACATGTTGCCTTGGTGATCATACAGTATGTTGACTTCTGCATGCCTTCTGAATGTGATTGCATTTGCTTACAGTCCTGTCAGATCACAAGAATAACAAGTACAACTTACTTTGAAATTTCTATGCAGGACAGCCTGGAGTCTTCCAAAATCTCTGCGAAATTGCTTGAAGAAGCACAGCTGAAAGGTGACACCTTGTCGCTGCGAGCATACTGCTTTGCCATGGCAACTGCTCTCAAGCAGGTACAATGCCTTTTGTTTTAGGTTCTGCCTGGGTCTCTGTAGTTTTATTGTGAAAGAAAGTTAACACGGAGAAAGTGTAACTGATCTATGTAACAACTTCAAGTATTGAAACTTTTAGGCTCCTGAAACGGTATGATTATAGACAACTTTCACATAAATTGAACCTGGAAGTTTTGAAATATAAACATGTCTTGAGTCTTATGTATTTTGTGCTAGTGACAATGCCGTCTAGAATATTACTAGACAACGAACGAGTTAGGCAAACAGGTTAGATGTAACCGTGGATCTACTCCTGCAGATACTACTATTTGGTGATGATTTCTTTTAAATAGAATTTAAATTATAATTTAAAATATTTAAGCAATCATCTCTTTAAAGTGGTTATCTTGGGAGGCAGGCTCAAAGGCTATGGTGTGTATTGCCCTACTCCATGGGAGGTGGCCTGTCTTTCTGGACAACATGTTTGTGCTCGGGGAGGTTTTCGTATACCTCATGTGCCTAAGCACTGAGGCTCTGAGGCAGCACAGGGTCAAACTCTGAGCAAGAGAATAACACTTAGGAAATTCTAAAGGCTGGAATAAATCTCTGCAATTAATTTGTCTATACAGCATGGGTGTGCTCTGAACCTTCTGTTTCATGTTAAAACAGAGGTCAGAGACACTGGAAGGACTACAGATTTGGTCTTATTCACAAATTTTAATGAATGAAGTAGAATTGTTAAAGGTTTCTTGTGCACTGTGTGGTCTTTTTTACTCTGTGAAGAGAGACACTGAGCAATAGCAATAGCAACACTGAAATAAATTGTCATTGAGTAAAAACAAAATATCTCTGAAACAAAATGAAATGTGCTTGATGTTACTGTATGTAAAAATCAGATAAAATTCTTGTTTTGCAAACAGAGTAATGCTCCACATTATATTTAACTGTTCTTTAAGCTGCATGATCTTTGTCAGTACTTATTGCTGTGAGAAAGATGATCTCAAGAAACATTGCTTGGTCTAGTAAATGCCAGTGTGACATTAACTGTCTACACAAATCAATTGATAACATAGATACAGTACTGTAAATGTGTATGTCCAAAAGGTTAAAAGGGCTGGACAGGATAAATATCCACATTAACATATACTGCACTTCATTTAAGTACTCTGAAATGTGTCAAACCGAGCACGTGTGTAGATCATGTATCTTTTAGGTGATCTCATGCTCAGCGTTGGTTACGTGCAACACACTGTAGTAAAGACCCAGACGACATGACAAATGCAGCATGGGGTGTTTCTTTTGCAGGCTGCATGCTGTTTGGTGTTTATGGGTCATGGTGAAGGGGTTTTAGATACTCGTTTGTGATTTATTGAAAAGTTGTGAAAGACTGTTTTTTCTCTTGAACTTCTATTGCAAAAGTTTGTGATGCATGTTTGACTGTATTTTTTTTATTATTTATAATTCCTTCCCAGAATGATGTAGCACAAGCCAAACTTTATTGCTCCCAGATAATGAAAACGGAGAACAAACTATACAATAATCTTAAAGTAAGTATGCTTGCTTTGTATTAAAATCTTGCAAAGGAGTATGCTATACTGGACAAAAAACTTCCATGTGTAAAGTAATGGAGCGGCAGCTTCTTAGGAGCACATCCGTGTGTTAGTAGTGTTGATGAGCTTGTTTCTGAGTCAACAAATTCTGAACTGTTAACAATCCTCACCCATTTTTTAAAATAACTTCCTACCATAGATGAGACCAGTCCTACATTTGTGGGTATAAAACCATGAACAATTTCTAATTATGACACTGTAACTTTTTGCTTCCTTGCTACAAAAGATTGAAAAAAACCACAGCTCCAAGTAAATGCCTTCTTTAGCTGTGCTCTGCCCACTTCAGACCTCCTTCAGCCCTACAAACCTTAGCCATGTGTGTGTGTACAACAATTTTTTTGTTTACTTGCACAGTCTGTAACCTCAGAGAAAGTGTACTGCATGTGCCGTGTAAGCCACCTCTCTAAGCTATGGCAAAAACCACTTTATTCAAGAACAGCTAATGCAGCTTCATCAGAGGAACTCTACCTTCAGACTCACCCTTCCTTTCCAGGTCCCAGCTGTGAAAAAAAACAGTGAGGGAATTGATCATTCCACCTGCTTTCTTTGTGATGAATGGATTTTTATCAGTGCAGCATCTGGAAATGTATTTTGTTCTGCTTTGCCTCATGTCTTTCTCAAACACTTTTTAAAAAATGTACGTTCTGATGAATGTAACCACCACTATTTGTGTGGTGTATTTTTATTTTATTTTTAAGGTTCTTGTCCAGCTCAGATCTGGTTTGCTAGAAGAAGTAATAAAGACACTAGAGGCAGCAGTGGAAGTAGATACTCCTCCCTTTGTGAAAAAACTTGAGTTTTCTGAGCAGGTGGTAAGTACATAGTAATGGTACTTGACTGAGACGTGGTAATGGTGGTACCTACAGAACCTCAGGTGCCTAAGTTCACCCTACTAAAGTTGTTTGGGTTCTGATGCCAAAGCATCTGTCTGGCTTCCTGTACTGTTGGACAAAACACTTAGCTGTTCACTTTCCATGGTCTTGCTCCTGGAAGCTCATACTTCATTTGAATGTAAGTGAAGCCTACCCTAGTGGCATTAAATAATTTAATCCCTTGCTTTCTATGTTACTTTCGTTTGATATGAAAATGAGAGTAAAGTTTCTGATCACAGTGATATTGTTAGATTGGTAATATTTGCAAAGATCTGTGCTATACAGGGAAGTGTGATATGAGAAACAGTAGCTTTTGCTATTTAACTGTGTTTTACTGTGAAAACAGTTTTTACAGTCTTGATCAGCAAGAAGGCTTTCTCATAGCACATATGTGGCCTCTATCAGATTGTCAGCATTGCTGCTGCTTTTCCTGAAACTCATCAGTGAATTCCTTTTGAATGTGCCTGTAGAACAAGGCAAGAATAATTAAATACTTAGCCATTCACTGCTGCCTATTAAACAGAATTTGTAACTATATGTAAAATATCACGTAGAAGGGGGGTATTCCTCTCAAAGTATAGCCCATTTATATTAACTGCTATGTCGAAAAGAAATTCTTTAAGCAACATTTCGTTTTGTAAAGTCTTTGCAATAAATGTTGCATGTGTCAGTGTTGTGTTTTGATTTTTGTTTGGGAAATTTGTAACAAGCATAAAAAGACTAAGCATTAGTCCTAACCCTTCCCTTCCACAAAACCTTATGGATAAATAACATTTTTTTAAGAGATTTACTTAACACTTGAGTTCATACTCTTGTGTATGGCATACAGAACTTCTCAGTTCTGTAGACTGAGTCTGTAGTCTGTCAGACTCTATAGTCTGACTTATTGATTTCTTCTGTACTGTACATTTACTGAGATGCGTAATAATAATTAGAATTATGCTGATCTGAAAAGTAGATTCCAGGAAGCAATTAAGTTTCCTGGATTTAAATAGAAAATAATTGTGTTATTCTGTACTAGGACTGAAAATAGGACTGTACAACTTCAAGGAAGTTTTAAATGTAATAAACCCTCTCTGATAGGTATCCAGTGCATTTCCACCATTATGTGGTGATGCATAATGTGTGTTCCATAAAATCATTGCCTTAGCAACTTATCTTATGCTGTGTGTTTGTTTACGATGAGTGATTGCTTGTCTTCAGTATGATGGTAGAACATGATCTTCACTTGCTGAACTGTAACAATATGTAAATTTCTCTTCCTCAGCTGGCTACAGTCAGGGAAAAGATGGAAGAAAACCCTAACTTTTCTGTCAAATTAGGAGATATTTGTACGAAACTACAAGCTTCTGGACAGATTACCGTGTGCACACTAGAAGACATGCTTTTCCAGATTCCTAGTTCAAAGAAGACTACTGCAAAGCTTTTAAGTCAGAAGCAATTGGGCTATCAGACTTCTAATCCGCTTCAGTCAAATCTGTTGTTGGAATAGTGCAGTATTTGGTGGCAAACTGAACTGCTGATAGCATCTCTTAGAAACCAGGTTCAAATAAAATGTCTTCTCCCGATTTCCACAATGAACAAGTGACCTCTTCTAATTTTCTGATATTAAGCTTCCCAGCGTAGCAGATCTTGGCACAAATTTGCAAAGTTTCTTAGAGCAAGTACGATCACACTTTTAGACTATAATGACTGTGATGGCTTTAATGGCTGCAGATCAAATGTGCTTGATCTGTGAGTCCTGTACACCCAAAAATCTGTACTCACTCACCATCCAGAATAGAAGGAGTCGGAAGCAGTTATACCTTGGCTGGCCTTTGTGTGCTTTTGGTTTACTTCTGCCTATGAAGTGATGAACCTGTTGATACAGAACTTGGCAGTCCTGTAAGCACTAGACTAGTAGGAGCCCAGCTTGGTACTCATACTCTCCAAGCTGGGCTGCATTATCTCTCCTCTGGATTCTGTTCTTTTTATTTTGTCTCTGCTCTAGTCGAGCAATGTCAGAACTCAGAGTATACTTTCTGTGAATGAATCTGTGCATGCTATATCAAACTTTGTTGAAGCCAGTGAAGCACTGTGGAGGAACAAGAACCCATCCATGCAGAAACACAGCTTCAAAGAAAATGTGGCTACAGCACACCAGAGGTTTCTGTCTGAGACTCTCTCTGATTTGTTGCTGTCGCAATATGTCCTGTTAATACTAAAATGCACAAAAACTGTTACACAGTAGAGGGAACTTCATACAAGTGTAAGTGAAGAATCATTTGAAGTGTGTATTACATTTTTGTGAATCACATGCACACTGTTTATGAGTGGTGGCATGAACTAAATACTACATACATCAGTCTAAGAACACAACTATTACTTTTTCTGTAGTATTGTGTTGCACATAATTCCACATATAGCTCAGGAGTAGAGTTTTTTAACGCTTTTCCCTCAGTTGGAAATTCTTTTAAGGTTTCTTTCAAATTCTTTCAAAACTATATGAACCCCTGAGAAGCTCCCAGTCTTTTCTCCACAAATAAATTTGATATGGGATTTGTAAAGGCTGCTTGCATTATGGCAAGGACTAGTGGCAAAAAATGTGGAGGGATTAACTACTCCTCAGTTTACTCCATTGGTATTATCAGGACAACTGTCTGATGTCATCCACTACTATCAGGACAGCTGCTCGATGCTAAGTTTATAAATGCCACATCCATTTAACCTTACACAGCAAATATGTAAGGTCAGTTCTGTATTAATTACAAGAAGTTGGTGCATCCTGGGACTGCATGTTTGCTTGTTCATTCAAATCTGAATTGGATAGCTTCCTACCTGAGGCTGTATCCTACCTGCAACTGAAGTAATGATAACTTCTATTAAAATTGTCAATATATCTGATGTTTCCATTCTTTGTTCTCTTGGCTACCTGTTTTCTTGAGGTTTATTTACTCCAAGTAACAAATTGTTTTTTTTTAAGAAATAACATGTCTTTGTCTTAAGAGAGGAGATACCCTTAAAAAACTAAAAATACTTTAATAGAAGAAGAAAGCAGGGACTCAACAAAGGTTAAAGAATACATTCAAAGAAACACACACAAAACTCAGACAATTAAAATTAGAATATTGAATGTTGAAGTGTTTAAGAAGACTGGTAACATTATCCCTCAGAAAAAAGAAAGCTGGGAAAAATAAACAACTTCTAATATTTATGCAGCTGATTTCCAACAAAGTCAAATTTGTGTCATACAAGGTGCAGAGACTTGTTAATTGGGAAATCTTGGATTTGAGTGATTATTTATGAATTTGTATTTTGGTGCATCAAGGTCCTAAGCACACTGGCTTTTGTGCTGAAAAGTCTTCATCCTTGTGCTTAGTTGACTGTTATTAGATTGTGCTGACTCCTGGTTTCCAAGCACCCAAGATCAGGAGACCAAACTTGTCTAGAGAGCAAATACTTAGGGATTTTGCTGGGTCAGAGTGGCTGTAATGCCAAGGGCTGAGTTACTAGACAGTTTTTTTGGAGACAGCCTCAGACAATAGGATCCACACTATGTTATTGCAGCTTTTAATAATTTTTTTTTTTCAATTATGAACCTTGAAATAAAAGAGAATTCAACATTCTTAAATTCAATAACAGATTTTTTTTTTTTAACAATCTGGAAAAAAACCAAGGCATTTACATTTCAAAGTGAATTGCTACATTTTTTTCTCTAGGTTTCACTGCAAGAGATTCTGTAGGAAGTGCTGCTTATGTAGTAAGTAGCTCAGATGAGGATCTGAGGCCTCTTTTGGGACCTCTTGTGTGGAAAAGGATTGCTCCTTATCATATTCAAATGTTCTTTGTCCAGTAAAAGGCAACGTGATTTTTGTTCATGTCCTTGCACCCCAGCAGCTTTTTGGAGCAGTGATCCAAGAGACAGCAGGTGGCGTTTCTTGACCATACTTTGCTGCCAGTGTTATTTCCAAGGATGAACTCGCCTGCAGTGTCACTTACTTAAAGGCAGGGCAGAATGAATGGTCTGCCCTATGTTTAATGCATGCCATGTTAAAATGGAAAATCCAGGCAACAGTCGGCTGCCTCAAGTGGTCGGTGATGGTTGATGATGACTGCAGACCTGAAGATTTGCAGAACTTAATTTGAAACTTTACTGCATTTATTGAAACAACTCATGATCATAATACATTTTTTACAGTATTCTGTAGCAGTACTAATTGATGACCTAGAAGACAGGGTGTTGATATTTTTCTTGTACACCAGTGACAGTTATACAGGCTTTACCTTTAAGAGAAAGTTGGGCACTGACTTGAATTGTAAAAGCATTCATTTTTACATTCAGATGGGATCTGGATTTTGTGCAGTCTCTAAAGGCCTGACATTCCTCTGCTGTAGATGCTTCTGCTTTTCTCCATGAGTTAATACTTTGTTTTTCATATTTCTTTCCACAAATATCCTGAGTCTTGGTGAGGGAGGATCACTTTCTTTGTGCTTCTCCCAAGTTAATTTTCTGCTTCAAAACAATAAAATGGAGGTGAAAGGCTTAGTCATTGCAGGAGTGGCTCCAGGCCTTAAGAAGAGTTTTCATGTATTTAATGAACCTTCTATAGGAGTTTAAGTAACACGAAGCAAAGACTTGTTAGAAATTTGCAGCTGTATGGAAAATAGGGAGACGTATAGAATATAGCTGTGCAAATTTCCAAATCATATGACAATCATGTGCTCACAAATAGTCATGATGGTAGCTAGTCTGGTAATTCTACCTTTCAGACTGGAAACCACTGAATTTAACTAGACTTGGTACAATAACAACAAGGTGGTCTTGAGAATCAGCAATGATCCTGTGCACATCCTAAATGGGCATGAATAGTCTTTTCAACATTCTTTACAGTACCTGTGGTATATGGTCAAATATAATTCCTTTTTCGGTGGGATAAGATCAACATTGTATTGCTACTGCGATTCTTCTAGACAAAACCAGTGTCCGCAGCCTTCAACTCAAATATTCAATTGCAAGTTAGACCTAGACCTAGACCTAGACCTAGAATTATTTCTCCTTTTCTGGTTCATTTGAATATGATAGTCCTCCTGTTATTTTGGCTTGAGATGCTGGTACAAAGTTTTCACAGACAGATGACTGTGAAGACTATCAGTCTTCTGAAACTTCACAATTTACGAGGGTAGAGGAAAACATACATCTCAAATAAGCTTTTTTTCATAATATCAGTAAGAACAGGCCATTAGAGAAATGGTCTTCATGTTTCTTGCCATCTTTGAAGTAATTTAAGGAGTCAGCTTTCTACATACAATATCAAAGCAGACAATGGTGTGCACTTGCACCATTTCACCAGCAGGCTGCTCTAGTTTTCTTGACAAAAAGCCACAGCTCTATGTTCAAGTAATAACCACTACCTTCAGGAATAAGAAGAAAAAGGTGCACTCACTGTTGTCAAACACAAACCTTTGACCTAGCTGCCTGGGCTAATGGTATCATTGAACAGGCAATGTGACACTTGTTTGCCTGGAACTGCTGTGACTCTGTTCCTGGAGTCACAAAGGGATATGTGCTGGCAGCAACCTGCCCCTGCATCCACTCCAGCACCTAGTCCAAAAAAGATGTTGTCCTCTTATTTCACATTAAAGGCTTTCTTTTCAAGGTTTTGTATTCTAGCTAAACTGTAAGAGGAACTTTTCATGTGCAGTTTCCCTAACTTGTAAGCTGGTAATTGTTTTCAGTTTCAAAGCAGTTAAGGGAAGTTTGTAGAGTCTCAGTCCCACTGACCAATGTAAGATGCTTGAAGAGAGATTAGAGCCTCATCCATATCCAGCAGAAACTGCAAAATCAAAATGAAATAGAAAATTACCCATCTCCAGTCTTGTGTCTGCTATGCAATTCAGGCTATTGGATTATCACATTTACTTTAGGAACAGGACATGTCTTGTAGCAGGAGATGTGGCTGCACCAATCTCAACAGAAAATTTTAGGAAAGAATCATGGAAAAGTAGTAACATTTGGAATAGCTGAGAGAATGCAGCGAGAATTCCCAGGTGTGATGATTAACCCCAGTCAGCAACCAAGTACCACAAAGCCACTTGATCACTCCTCCACCTGTGGAACTGGGGAGAGAATCAGAAGAGTAAAAGCAAGAAAGAAGTCCTGGGTTGAGATAAAGACAGTTTAATAGGGAAAGCAAAAGCTGCTCGCACAAGCAAAGCAAAACAGGAATCCATTCACTGCTTCCCGTGGGTAAGCAATGCCAGGACAGTTCTCTAAGAGAGCAGGGCGCCATCATGCATAGTGGTTACTGGAGAAGACAAATGGCATCACCCTAAGTGTCCACCTCCTCCTCCTTCTTCTCCCCTCTTTATACACTGAGCATGATGTCATATGGTCTGGAATATCCCTTTAGACATTTTGGGTCACCTGTCCCAACTGTGTCTCCTCCTAGTCTCCCACGCACCCCCAGTCTCCTCACCACCATGGCAGTATGAAAAGCAGAAAAGGTCTTGGCTCTTTGTAAGTGTTGCTCAGCAATAACAAAAACATCTCTATATTATCAACACTGTCTTCATCACAAATTCAAAACACAGCCCAATACTAGCCAAAACCAGCTCACCAAGTAACAACTCCGTGGTAATTATTTCATCTGTAACTACTTACTAGTGCTGTAACATTTCTTTCAGCTTTGTGACAGTAAATGGACCTTCCTCTGGATAGTAGGATTTTAACAGTAGGGGTTTTTGTTGCTGACTTAACTGTTTGAGAGTGGTTCTGCACTCCTTTCAGCCACCATATGCTGCAGAACTAGAGACAGAGAGTCCAGCATAACGTGTTAGAACGGGAAAGGGAATCAGTTCACAAATTCACTTTACATAATTTAAAAAGTCCTAAGAATGGTTAAGCATGAACAAAGTAGTTTGAGAAACTTCTCATCCTCCTTCTCTATAGTACCATCACTTGGGGAGGGGTAAAGGGAAGGGGGGAAAAAAAGGAGAAATAAAAGGCAGAGACATTGTTGAGAACTTCTTCTTTATGTTTGAAGCTTTATCAGTTCTCACATCAGAATGACAGAAAACGAGAACTGTAATGGAGAAAGGATGATGCATCTACAAAATAGCTGTAGTGGTTAAGTACTTTCAGGGGAAATTCAGACCACAAAATTTGCTCTGCTGCACTTTTACTACCCTTTGGAAAGGTTTAAGATCTGTAAGCATTGGCAAGTAAAAGTTTTTAAAAATTCCTCACAAAATGCTAAGACAAGTGTGTGCTTGAATTTAGAAAAGAGCCCGTGGTGGCTGTAGCCCTAATGCAGCTCTTTATGGACAGCCACACAGGTGAAAACATCAACATGTCAAATTTCAGGCCTGAAAGTTTACACCATATACATTGTTGCATGGGCTCAACTGGTCAGCCTGCAAGGCATTTCTCACTTGAGTTGCCATGTATCTTTATCTGCTGTGGGTATCCAGACAAAATAGTTTGCTATCTTGAAGAATGTGATGGAAAAAGTGTGGTGCCTTGTCATATTTACATTGCCAAAGACAGTTTTGTATTTTTCTTGGTTTACATGTGTTTGTAACCATGTCTTGGGTTGATTTTTTTTGTTTCTTGCAAGCTAATCAGAGAACTGTAGAGTAACTTAAAATGGAAGAGTTTTCTGGAGGTCATCTTATCCCACCCCTCATTATATATCAGCAGAGAATTGCACTGAAACATTAGGTCAGAGAAAGGAAATTAAAATCCTTGCCTGTGCAACTGTAGCCATATGGGTGCAGCTCCCTTTTCTGCTAGTGAAACCAAGCTTGTTCTGTCATTTTTTATTCATTTTAAGAGACATATATTTTCAGTTAACTGTCTTGCTTCATACCTGGTTACAGCTAGCTCTTGTTCCTGCCTACTCCTA